CTCAGGATAGGCCCTGTGGGGATTAGGGGACGAGAGAGAGCAAGACAGAGAGGAGAAGAACAAAGGTTATAGTGAGAGACGGAGAAGACAGCTTATTGTGTGGAGGTTTGTACCTTCAGGGGGACTGGGTGAGTGATTTACGGGAGGAAGTAACAGAAAAGGGGACTTGTTCAAGCAGGCAGATTGTAGAGAGAAAGACAGCTGTAGGTCGGTAGGTGGATATGCTTGATGGCAGCAACAAAGATATTGAGAACTGAGAAAGTGCTAAGAAAGGAAGGGAGGAGCGACAAAATGTCGAAAGAAGAGAAATTAGGGTGACCAAAGAGAGGCTGTGGAAAAGGAGAGGGAGTCGGTGTGAGAGCTTATTACAGATTATTTACTAGGCAACACAAGCCTCAGTTTACAGCAAGGGTTTACAGACTGACTGAAGCTACATAACTGGAGTAAGACAGAGCGGTAGCAAGTAGATGACTGTGAAGGAACTCAGGCCAGCAGGGAGGCACACGTCCCTGGTAGTGCTCGACCGGGGAGACCCTGTGCTGATGGTGCAGGGAGTTTTGTCCTGGCTGCGTTCTCGCTTCGTCTCCGGGGCAGTGTGCGCCTGTGTCAGCGCCTGCATCCTCCTCCACTATTGCTCTGTGTGCCAGGTAAGACGTGTGTCATGAGGAATTTGTCTAGAGAGCAGCGATACAGGTTTGAATATTGACTATCTTTGCCCCAGACCGTCAAATGCGTTCGCTGAGGTCATGCTTCTTCAGAAAGATGATGTGATGGTTGATTATACAGAATATTTGGCTATGCAAAATGTGATTGCTTACGCACTGTCTTAGTGCTGCTACAGTGTGACAGTTGTCTGGCACACGTTCTGCAGTTTGTTCTGTGTAGCTGTCATGAACTCTCTATGTGGGTTAAGAAGCTAGTAAGCCGGCCAACCAGCTGGATCATCAAGCTGTAATACTTTATGCAATCAGTTAATTTCCCAGAATTCAGTGTAGTTGTGGCAAGTACTCTCAGTTGCCATGTTATTAAACAAAGCTGTTGTAGCTAAAACTAACGCTTTGCAAAGGCGGACTAAATAGTAGAGGCACTTGGCACTTCCAAATGAATAGCACCACAGATTTAAGCCTCTGAAACAACACCTGTCTCAAGCATTTCAACATTACAACCCTCATCAGGGCTTTATTGTAGCTCGAGCTGCAACAATGAACCGTTTAGTGGAAGTTACTAATCAACCACCAACTAATTTCATCTGTTGGTTTGAGTATATTTTTAAGAGGGGGAAAAAGTCCTAATTGTAGGATTTCATCTTTATAACTGCGATTTCTTTACTCATCTATAAAATTAAACTAAACACCTTTTTGATTGTGGACAAAAAAAGACATCTGAGGATGCCATCTTTGGCTTTGGGAAACACTGATGGACAGTTTTGACCATTTTTTTTCTGAAGGGGGAGACCGTAATGGAACATTCTTGTAGTCCATGTGACTTCTCCCAGTGTGACTATTGTTGCTGTCATGTGAACCACAGAGGGACCCTGGCAAGGAAGTGTTTGTTGCTTCATGACGAGTACTGGAGACATTCCCTGGATTCCAACCCCAAATCAGGAGAGGAGGGACAGGGAGGATGAGAATATGATGAGAATAAAGAGGCGAGCAGTTGAGGGACTTCCACTTGATTTAAAGTGGGGGGGAAAGTGAAAATAACACAAGGCAGGAAAATATAACCTAGAACATGTGGACAGTGCACATTCATCAGCGTCAAAGCTTTGGGGAATGAGAAGGAGGCTTGGAAAACAATAATGAAACGAAGGTCTGTGTTATATATATATATACATACAAGCGTTATATAAGAGAGAAAGCAGAGATGGCGGAGGTTTGACTGTGTGGGGTGAAATGTGACCTCAGTGTGGGATGGATATACAGGATGAGATTGCAGTACTTCTGTTTGAACCAAAACAGCAAGACTTTTTGTGCATTATTTGTTGCAATCGTCGACATATACCAAAGCCCCCTTCATTCCCAGCAGAGTTAGTTTTTTTTCGCAGTGCTGGTAAATATTAAAGAGGCACATTCGACTCCACGGAGGCGGCACATTAGGCTGTCAGCATGAAGCAATTAGTGAGCCTGATGCGGATGAGAGAGGTGAAAGAGGAGAGGCTGGAGGTTTGGGTGTCTGCTTCACCTTCCTCTCCTGTCACCCATCCCGTGACTTTCATCTGTCACTGCAGTCTTCTTTGGATGAGGCTGCTAATAATAATGATTTTAAATACCAATTAAGATTAAAGATGTGAGGGGTTCGGTCCTCAAACAGAGGCTTCTTTTACCGTGTACAGTGTGCAGGCAGGAAATGTCAATCTTTGACAGTTTCCCCCCCACACATAACATTGTTAATGTAATAACGCTTAAAATGGAGTTGATTTCAATACACTATATCTGACCATATTTCCATATAATCAGACTTCCAGTGCAGTGCACAGGCATGCGTTTTATATCTAAATATCTTGATGAAGGCTAAAAAGGTTTGTGTATTGCAGCTTCATTATATTTTAAATGGCCCTGTTGTTTTAAACTGTTGAGTAAACTAAAAATGACCCTAGAGTAAACATACCCACAGTAGACATTTGTATTTTGCCCCTTCTATTCAGAATATCGCCTGAGTCTTCATATTTTCTTTATAGAGTGTGAATCTTACATAACAGGTTCATAATTATCTCCTAAAGCAGCATTTTGAAGGCCAGTCGCTGGTGGCAGTTTGACTCACCGTGTGGAGTATCTGAAGGTGGAACGCTTGTTGTGTTTTGTTGTGGATTAAGGTTAAGAAGGTGGTTTGTACCGTGATTTTTTTTCCCACTCAGTTTGCTGGGAAGGCTCTAGAAAAAAATCTTCAGAGTTTATTTTCAGTTTCTCTAGAGAATGTTAAGGTTGACTACTGGTCTGCGCAATTTGCTTTTGAAGAAATCCTGACTAAAATATAAAGCTCAGATTAATCCAGAGAGACTGTGGAGGTGTGCAGGAGGGAAAGATGCTGCAGCAGGTAGATTTATAAATAAATCTACTGTCAAGAAATGAAGAGATTATCTGTGAGGACAGGCACATTGCAGTTTTACCTTCAACACCATAGAAAACTTACTGCATTTGCTCTCATTTCTGTTTCACAAAAGTGATTTGTGAGCACTGTTGTGTCACAAAAATCCCAAAATGTGACAGTAGCCTAATTAATTGATTGCCACTGGCAACTTCCAGATATGTTTCTCTGTCTGGGTCAGCAGTACGACATCTGCTTTGATTAGTAAAGCATGTCAAAACGAGTAAGGGGAATTTTTCTCATGTTGCAAATCGTGGCGTCAACGTCGCATATTTGTTGAAATGCCGTTGCTGTTTCGTCACTGTTCTCGGCCCTGGGGTGGCGAAGGTTATGGTGGGGTTAATCTGTTGATGCGATTGAAGGCTCAGTTCACAGCCGTCTAGTATTCACTCTCATTACTTTCTGCCTTTCACTGATAATGCTGACACTAACCAGCTGTCTGACGAAGCAGAAACCAGCTGGACAGTTTGTCTACGTATGGAATCAATGGAGAGCAGTGAGAAAGTTTTGTCTTCTCATCCTATTTCAAGACCAAATCTTTAATCCAGTTAGTCACCTGGGATGATTGAACATGTGAACAACTCGTGACGCTGATGTACTAAATAGATTCTGCTAAAACTATGACAATTTTCTATTTATTGTTAAATAATGAATGTGAAACTTCTTTCTTAATGAGACAAATTATTTATAATGTTTGAGTTCATTTTGATCTTGTGTGGTGTTGGGCCAATGCCAGCTTTTTTTGTCACCTGTAAAAATAAAGTTACAAAGAAATACTTTAAAATGCTTAAAGCCCTTAAAAGTTTCATTAAAATCAGTTTTTTTTTCTGACCAAGTAAACAAAGTAAAAGTCTTTAGAATTTAACGTACAAAAACTCTGTTCAGCTGACCTAAGCAGATTGTTTTGTGTCACTTGTCATAAGAAGTAGATTATCAACATTGTTTTTCAAGGTCTTTAAACTCTTAAGTTGCAAAACATTGTGGTTTAAACTCAAATAAAGCCTTTTTTTCCTCTCCTAAGGTAAACACGGACCCACAGTTTCCCCTCCCTGTGTATATTCTTGCATTAGGACTGTTTTATTGTGACAGAGTTTCAACAGAGCAGCTGGAGAAAGAATGCAGAGCAGAGATAGGCTGAGCAGTGAGAAGAACAGCCATTTATAGAAGTAGTTTAGTTATAAAAAAAGATTAATTTTATGATTATAGCCTCTTGTCCTCTGCATTTTATTGCTCACATTTACCTGCTTTGCCTCACGCTCCCACTTTGTCTTTTTATTAAACCATGACTGCTTCTGTGTTTAACAGTCAATTGCAAAAAGGTAGGCATTGTAGGACTGTATCTGCTGCAAAGTTAAAAGAAGCGAAGAGACGTATGAAATGATGTTGTTTTCCTGTCAGTAACACACACACATGCCCACACACATTCCCATGCAAAACGGCCTGTCCATTTGTTGTGATTTCCCACACACACATTCCAATCAATCAATGTCAGGTTCTTCTCATGCTGCTTGCGTCAAAGCCCCTGTTGCACACTGTCCTTGCTCTGGTGTTTCCCAACACAGATAACCATTACGCACACACACAGACACACACTTTAGGACAGTAAGGTTCTGTTTTACGACACCACAGTGGTGGCTTTGGTAAATGTTTTATGAATGGGCTTTGTCATGTACGTTTTGCACCTGGCCTTGACTAAAGGGGAGGGTCTGTCCAATGTCTACTGATATGTGTGTATGTGCACACTGAAGGTGTGTTTTCCTTGTAATGTCTAATCACTCTGCTGGCCTGCATCTGACTCAGTGCTTTGTTTGACCAGAAAAGAAAACTCTTTGGCTGATTAGTCAGTGCTTCATCTTTGTCATTGGTGTGACCAACCACAAGAGGATGACAATTTTTTTTGTTTTTTCCTCCTTTAGAACAAGTCCTGGCAGAAGCTGAAGACCATGGTTCACTGGTCCCCTTTTGTCGTGTCCTTTAAGAAGCGTTACCCGTGGGTGCAGCTCGCTGGCCATGCAGGTATGCAGAAATATGCACCATACATGTCTGTGCTTATCATTCTTGAAAGAAATAGTTTTTCAGTAAATACACTTATTAAGGTTCTTGCCAAGAGCTGGAAGAGAAGTCGTATCTGTCTGTTAAACATTAGGCTGCAGTTAGTTTAGCTTAGCATAAAGACTGGAAACAGGAGTTAACAGTGAGCCTGACTCTGTCCAAAGGTAACCGCACTTCTAAAGCTCACGCGTACCTCACTTGTTTAATCGATACACAAACCAAAATGTAACGACAAGTTGTGGTTTCTAAGCTAGCTGTTTTCAGCTTTATTTTTAGTGTACAGATATGAGGGAGGTGTTAATCCTCTCATCTGACTCACAGCAAAAGCAAATATGCACACTTCTGAAAATGTCCGACTGTTCCTGTAATCCTCATTCTGTCTTTCTTAGGTAACTTCCAGGCCGGGGAGTATGGGCGCTTGTTGAAGCGATACTGTGAGTGTGAGCAGCAGTGCCTACAGAAGCTGATGAAGGACATTCTGTGTCCTTATGTGCCTGGATATTATGGTGTAGTGCAGAGGGACGAGCAGGACTATAACCTGATGGATGACCTGCTGGCTGACTTTGACTCACCCTCCATCATGGACTGTAAGATGGGCAGTAGGTAAGACTTGGCACATGATGAACAAAGTGGTTTTGTGTGACATGCATTTTACAAGACTATACTGACCGCAGAAAGCAGAAGACAGAGCATTTGCACACATTTGATCTTTAACCAGTTTTCTGCACTGATTGAGTCAAAATAATAGTGCAATAAGACTAAATAACGGCATGGCCTCAATACAGAAAAATCTAATTGAAGTAGAGATAAAGAAAATTAAATATTGGGCCTTTACTTTTCAGGACATACTTAGAAGAGGAGCTGATAAAAGCCAGAGAGCGTCCACGTTTGCGAAAGGACATGTACGAGAAGATGGTTGCTGTGGACCCCGGAGCCCCTACAGAGCAGGAGCGAGCTCAGCAGGGTGTCCTGAAACCACGATACATGCAGTGGAGGGAGACGCTCAGCTCCACCGCCACCCTGGGCTTCCGCATCGAAGGCATTAAGGTCAGAAGTTGTCCCGGACATTCAGTGCTAATAACATTTCTGGCTGTAGTTCTTAGGATGCTGCGTGTTTTTTCAAGAAGTAAACCCATCAGTAGAAGTAAATATTTATCAGTGTATTTACAAGACAGACCACACATGCTAGAGTGGAAATGTCATCACAGTAGGTTAAAGGTTTTCAGCTGGATGCCCAGCCATGAAGAGGACTGTTTGTTCTTTCGAAAATAAATCTAGGACTGGTTATCAGGGTGTACCAATAGTGGATTTGCATGCTTCTCAGACACGAATGAAAATATCTGATGACACGCTGTAAGCATTTAAGGAAGCCCGCTGTGGCCTCATTTTCCAGTTGAACTAGTATTTGTAGCCAAGCCCTAACAGGCAAATTGATTTTAAGGTTGTTGTTTACACCTGCTTCCGCAGCAAAACACACTATTAGAGCCTGTGCTCGCGCTGATAGTAACATGTAACAGGAGGATCTGCAGTTGAACTGATCCAGGGAGCTTTAAAGTACTTTCTGAAATGAATTATTGTCCTCGTGCAGATCAAAGTACTGTTATAAAGAGAAGAACAAGATGTACAGGATCTTATGTTTCCCTTTTGCAACAGAAAGCTGATGGAACTTGCAACACCAATTTTAAGAAGACGAAGCACAGAGAACAAGTGATGCAAGCCTTGGAGGACTTTGTCAATGGCAACACTCAAATTCTGGTATGTTATTAGTTCACCGCTTAGTCCTGGAAATGCAAAAATGTTTTTTTTTTTAACCCTCTGAACCCAAAGCATTTCAGGGTGTTTTTTTTGCTCCTGTCACATTGTGTGGACTCATTTTTCACAGCAATAGAAAATCATCGGCAAAAGGTAGAAAGAACTCAGATGTCTTTAGTACAGCATGGCACTGTTACAATGACACAAATCATTTTTAAAAAAGAAAAGGTTGAATATCTTGTTTTACAAAAATTGAAAAAACCCTGGACTCAACATATACATTCTTCCAAGCGCCCAAAAGTGTTATCAATAATATTCTTGCTCTTGTGTTCTAGTATTTTACTGCTTACATTTTTTTCAGTTGTTTCCATATTGTTTATCTTCGCTGTATTAACACAGCCTGCAGTTCAGCCAAATAGTCCTAGAATTTTAGCTGCTAGACTTTGTTGCACAGTTTGTTTTTTGCATAATCCATTTAGTGCCAACAGTTTGTTTGGCAATTTTTAAACAAGAAATGAAGAAAAAAAAGTGATGGAATCTAACGTTTTTTGGTCTTTATTTTTAAACATGCCTTACAAACTCATTGGCAAGTTTTGGGGTTCAGAGGTTTGAAGAAAAGGTTTGCGTTTGATATGAGTTTGATGAGAAGGTTGTCCTGACTTACTGTGGCTTTACCGTCAATATAAAGCTACTACTAGCAACTGCTTAGCTTAGCTTAGCTTAGCATAGAGACTGGAAACGAGATGAATCAGCTCGCCTGGCTTTGTCCAAATTAAACAAAATTCACCTGACAGCATCTCTAAACCTTATTTATTCTCAAGTTATTGTCTTGTTGTTTAGTCATAGACCAATCCTGTCCTGCAGTCACTAGCTGGTTGCCTAGTAACTGTTTCTGGCCAAGAAGTAGTTTAACAAGCTACGCACAGCAAGTTATTTTTACATGTCAAGTTTTTTTTACAAGTTAAACATAAATTATATAACGTGTTAATGAGAGAACTTTAGAGGGGCTGCTTGGTGGATTTTGTTACGTTTAACAAAGATGAGCTGTTGTCCCCCAGTCTCTACGAAGTGAAGCTAGCCAGCTGCTGAGTAGCTTCATGTTTACTGTCCATACAGCAGTTATTCAAAACTACTGAGTGGTATGTGCATCAAAGAAGACTTTAAATTCAGTTAAGTAGGAAAGAAGAACAAAAAGTGTAGTTTTGGCTCTATTTTGTAACTTCCTCTCAGTGTCCGTTCTCACACTCTTATTCCCTACATCTCTTTTATTCTTCTCTTTTTTTTTATTTTTTAGAAACTCTACCTGCAGCGGTTGGAGGAACTCCGCTCAGTCCTTGAGCAGTCACCATTCTTTAGGACACACGAGGTGAGACACTCACTTTTCATAATTTCTCACCAAACCTGTTGTCTGAGTTGTATGTTGGTGATATCATCGCATCAGCTTCTGTACTGAATCACTCACATTCCTAAACTCACCCCATCTCACTGGTTTCTCCGTCACAGGTCGTGGGCAGTTCTCTTCTGTTTGTGCACGACGCCTCGGGGAAGGCCAGGGTTTGGATGATCGACTTTGGGAAGACGGTTCCCCTGCCGGCCCCTCGGACCCTGGATCACAGGACTCCCTGGGTGGAGGGCAACAGGGAGGACGGCTACCTGTGGGGACTGGACAACCTCATTGACATCTTCAGCAGTATGCTCCCGCAGACCTCTTGAGAGGGAGACTCAGAAAACTGCAAGAAAAGATTGGTGGATGTTCAGATGGTGCAAGAAAAGGAGAGAAAATCACAAAAACTAAGACAGATGAGAAGAGAGCCACCAGTTTTGATTACTTTTTTTTAAGACCCACTGCATAATCCAAGTCCCACTTGTACCTGTGTAAGAAAAGGAGGCAAAACAAATGCAGGATTTCTGTTGCAAAGTGGAATATGCCAAAGGCTGACTATGTGCATTATGTGGTACTTGGACGCAGGTGATACGAGCTGAAGCGAAAGGTAGAAGAAAGAAGAAGAGGGAGAATTTAATGCACAGTTGAATTTTTGTCTCATGAACTTCAGCTTATTTCCGGAGAGTATGGACCTCTGGCTGTCACTTTTTCCTGCTCATCTCCCTCCTCAACGGCTCCCTCTGTTGGTTGGACGTGCTCATAGCGGTCGTCTCTCAACCATGAACTTGATCCGGACGAAGATCTTTGTACACAATCTCCATGGAGCATTGAGAACTTTATTTTTGTCATGGACCACTTTTGATGTTTGGTAACACTAAAACACTGGTCAAACCACGTGTTCAATAACTCAGTGTGTAAATACAGTTTAATTTAATTTTTTTTCTTGGCCTTGGTATAACCTTCTTAACCTTGTTTGTACAATTTCTGTGCCTGGCATTTTAAAGACAGAGCTGTTTGATCATTCCAATGCAGTGGACTCCTGCTATTTTCCTTCCAAAGGGTTCACCCAAGTATAAACTGATTTACATCTAATCCCAAAGTGAAACTTCTGATTTTGATTTTTGTATGATAATGCAGTGAAATGTCTTTTATTTTTGTGTGTACAGTAAGCAGCTTGGCAGCCATGTTTGTCTGGAATTTGTTGCACTATGGATCCTCATGAAGCCATTGAACAAAACAAGCGGTGCCTCTGTGTGTCTTAAGATGGAAAGCAGCAGTGGTGTACTGGGTTTACAGCTCAACCCGAATTTAATTTGGTGTTGCTACTCGATTCTCTCTGATCAGTGTCGCATTAGGGAGTTTTACAGTAAAACAGCCGAGTGAAGGGTGAAACTGGAAGTACCTAATTTGCATCAACTTGCACGTGATCCTAAAACTGGAAAAATCCAAACGTGACTTATAATTGAAAGGATGATGTGTGTTTAAATACAAGCAAATGACGTTAAAACATGAGGACATTGCTGTAAACCTCACTTAGCTACACTAAGCAGGAAGTTTGTGAGTTTGAATTTTTGTATGCAACACTGAGAGTTTACAAAGTATCGACATTGTTAGATATTAGGGCAGTGCTTGTGAGCATGTCTGTCATTCCTTCACTGGAATGCAGCAGGTCTGTGAACATGACAGTGTTCAGTCTTCCAGATGTCCTTTTGACGGTGTCAAGCAGCACTGTTTGGATACGTATGTGTGCGTAGGCAGTTCATTCAGCGCACAAATTTCCTTCATGAGTTCTAAGTGACATCATGAAACTGGAATTTAAAGTCAGGAATTCAGTTTTTTCATCTCTAAAAAAACAACGTTGGGAGAGAGGAATAATATAGTGTTTACAAAGTGTTCTAATTCTTTGCCCACAAATGCTCTAGATTTGTAGAAAGGCAAACTATCAGGTTTTCAAACTGGGTGCTGCTTTATGAGCAAGAAAACTGGATTCAGAACCACAGTTTGTATTTTAAAGGCAGCATGTTTTAAAGTTGCAAGACACACACAGACTGGTGGAAAAATGCTTATAAATCTCTGCTTTGTCCATTTGGTCATGGATTGCAATAAACTGAAAATAAGAGTTTGCAGAGTTTGTTTTATTTTCTCAAACGCACAATCAGATCATACATTTCGTACAGGCAGTGAATGAAGACGACAACATAACAGATCGAGTTATTTTGTACTCAGGCAGTAATGGAAATGTGTCATTTTCTAAATCTGAAAGACCAAAGTCTAAATTTCCATGAAAACTACAAAAGCTTCTCAGTCGAAATCAAACGAGTGACAGAACGTAGAGGTAGAAATCTATGAATTGTGTATTGAAATATTCCTGGACACTGAGGTAATGGTGTATTTCTTGGAAATTTAGTTTTAGAGCAAACAATCAGATGTAAACATGTGTTGTTGGTTTACCCCTCAAAAAAAAAAAAGCTCATCAAGATAGAAGGCCATATTGATGCAACAGCACTGTCAGTTATTTTTAATAGTTCACTCCTGCATATTTCAGCTGCAAAGTACAAATAGAACTAAAGCTATTAAAGATGCAACCTTCAGAACCACTGGATGTCCCTAGAACAGCAGCATCTCGGGCCAAAACATTGAGCATGTCCATCAAAATTCCCTTTACTTTCATTTACAATCAGAATAACAAAAAATAATTCAGTCACAACAATTACCTAGCACTCTAAAATAAACTGAAATGCCACAATGAGTTGTTCTGGTCTTTGTGTGGAAACAAAGACAGAAGCAGAACAGACATGGGTAGAAAACGAGTTGCTGAGCAGAACCTCAAAACAGCAGTAAACTCTCACACTGAGCTGTGCACAGAAATTAGGTAAATAACATAAATAAAAAACTTTTAACTCTCAATCTGTGTATAAACACAGGAAGGGCAAACATTTTCAAAAAGGGGAGGGACTCAAATACACTAATATGCTCACATAACCGGACTGGCTGCAAAACAGAGAACTGAGAAATCCAGATTCCAACACACAAACGAGGTGCGACCTTAGTCTCTGCCATGACTTCACTATACCTTTGCATAGCAGATCATTGTTTGCTGTAATATTAATGCCATGTGCATATTCAAAATCTTAAATTCTGCACATTTAAAGGGAAGGCTACTCTTTCTTAATTATGCATACCATTACATATTTTCACATAACTTCCCTACGCATCCACAAAGTGCACACAGTTCCATTACTGTGATGTGAATACAGCCCTTGTGGATTGATTGAAAAACTTGGAAAAAATCAGCATGACGCATTGAAATGCCTGACTTTAAATGGGTCATACTGGATCTTGAGAGTTCAGTGTGATGTCTCTCAGCAGATTAAACTCTGCTGGGTCCTGCTAATCCGAGCAGCCTCACACTCCTTACTGCGTCTGTGTCCTTGTGTGGAGCAGCACCGCCTGTCCAGCCAGCCCAGCTTCCACCCCTCCAAGAGGAAGAACGTACTGGGTGCCATCGTTTGCTTTCTGAGGGTCCATCTCCTTCAGCTGCTCGTTGCTCTGAGCCACGTTGTCCAAACTCCACAGCTGGTAGCGCAGGCTTTTGCCCTGCTTAGCCAGGATGTAAACCTCTTTGACTGCCGTGGTGCTGACCGGACAAGGTGAGCAGCTGTCGGCGGCGAGGCATAGCCAAGGCAGAGTGGGATCAGGCTGGGTGTGATCTTTGCTCACAGCGCCCTGGTCCACGCCGAGGAGAACACCTGGAATCAAACAGTATGGTCATTGTGTGTATGGGATGTTTTTAGTGTGCCAAGATTACCAGTAGGCGTTGACCGATACTGTTGGCGCTGATAAGATCAAGAACCAACATTTAAATTTAGAATGACTCAAATTCCAGTGATGACTAAAGACAGAAACATGCAGCGGCATGAGGGCCAAAGCAGTGCATTTTTACTTTTTTAAAAATGTAATTGTTTTTTTTTTTAATGATATGGATAATGGCAAAAATGCAGAATATGAGTTCTAATAATCAATTGAACTCCTATGACCAGTTAAACCAGGTCTACCTCAGGAAATTCACCATCATAAAGCTGGTTTAAATAAGCCTGACCTGGGTTACCATGGAAACATATCCCTCCCAAGTCGCCTGGACAGTATAGTTTTCAGGTTTAGATTCACCTCAGGCTTAACTGACTGCACTGTGAACCAGTTTATAGAAACATTTAAAATGAAGGCACTTAATTGCCTTTTCATCTCAAAATATCTGCACAGTGTTCCAGTCAACATCTGTGCTTTTAAATGCTTTGCAAACTAAATAAAACTGCTTTGACACATGAATGACCTTTGCCTCATTGAAGGCATTTCCACACTTCTTCTAACTTTAAATGTCATTGCATAAACTTACATGGACCCAGAGGTTCCTGTCTTAAAAATGAGAGTATTAAAACTTGGGTATCACTGACACCAATCAAGGAACATAATCCAACTGATGAAGCACTAATTATCATACTGTCATGCTATAAAAAAGACCTGAGTATTTGGTAAGTGAAGATTGCTTCATATCATGCTACATCTAATACACCCACATGTTAATTTTACAGCTGTAATGATACAAACCCACACTGAGCTCACAGGTAATTTCAGTTCACCTCCATGACATGCTGCAAAATGCTGTTTGCTTGGTTTATTGTCCTGATTTTGTTTGTCTTTGTTGTAACATTTTATTCTCTATATTATATGTGAAATACGTGTTGCTTTGCAGCTGCAAATGTTGTCTTAACATGCACTTTATCTTCAATTCTAATTGATGTAATCTGGTCTCAGGTCTGTTTTACAGTGATGAAATCAACCAGACTTGAAAGGGACTCAGACATCAAACCAACTAACAAATTGATCCTGGCTCAGTCTTTCAGGGTAACTTACGACATGTTCTTCACACTGAACCACCTCTATAAAACTCTAATAAGTGACTGATCTCGTCTTACCTGAAGCGACGGCCCAGTGTGCTCTCTGGCCGCCACGCTGACATGGCTCGTGGTTGAAGTCTTCATCATACCTGCGTATGCTGTCAAGGAATTTTCACATGATCATAAACTTCTCTATTACATTCAGTAGTAAAAAAAAACAAAAACAAAAAAACACCACAAAACTGAGTGTTTTCCTTCAGAGTCCAGGATACGGGATGAGAACAGGCTGCCTCCCCCACAGGTGTGCAATGACAGCTGCAGCATTATTATCTCTCAAACCTCCTGAGAGCAGCTCGGCCTTACAGCCACAAACCTCTTCTGCCAGCAGGGCCATGTTTTCAGCTGACAAAAGAAACATCTTAATGAGAACATAAAGAAACCCAAACTCCATAAACTCAACATAAAGTGAAACAGCATTTTAGATTTTAAGATGCTGTGAATCATAAAGAGTGAATCACCACTAAAACAAATGTTAGCTGCAGAAATCTGTTTATATAATGACCACATTTCTAATTACAGCCTGCACCTGTTTCTTGGATCCAAATGTCACATTTGCATTTCCATTATATCAGAAAACTTCTACTACTCCTACACAGAACTGATGATGCTTAAAAAATATAATAATGAGGAACAGCAAGGGTGTTTTTAGGAGGGTGGTAACAAAAAATATGTGAGATTTATGAACATTTAAAAGGGTAGAAGTTAATAAGTTGAACTTCTTCTTCTACTTGTTTTCAGATATTATTTAAAAGTTCTGTTTTTTCTCTCTTTTTGTTTTACCTTTATGGTATTGTGGCATGTCTGAAATAAATCAATTCAATTAAAAAAAAATGTTTAAAAATGATGACAGAGACTCTTCAATTGAAAACAGACTGACCCAAAAACATTTTACACACTTTGAATACCTGAAAACATTTCACCCTGAGCTGTGTATCCTCGGCTCAGCGCTGTCTGCACCACGGTGTCCATATCAACACTCAGCTGTGGCTGCCAGAGGTGAGCAGCCATCCACAAAGCCACCAGGCCACACCTACAACAAAAGCAAATACCTCCCTCACACCCTGGCATGTTTAATGACCTAAACATAAAAGTCACAATAGCACCATTGTGTTACACATAAAATCCTTGTGGTAACAGTTTTACTTGTCTGTTATATGCCCGATGTCTCAGTCAAATGCAAATCTTGATAAGATGCCATAGTTTATTGACTTACTGTGGACCATCCTGGATGAGGGAAGGCACATATGTGTTCACAAGTATCCACTGCAGGTCCTTCCTAAAACTGAAGCACAAACAAATGACACTGCATAAAATAAAAGCCACTTCTTCCACAAAAACAACTCTGTTTTTTATCCTTTAGACAATTAGCTGATGGTTTATTTGGGCAAACTCTTTCCTGGAAGATATTTTGACAAGTCAGAGTGGGAAAAGCACAAGTGTAAATAAACTCATCAGTGTTATCAGCAACACTTATGTGTTTCCTGCTATGACAAGTCAAAATGTCTGCAGTGAAAAACACTTCCTTAATAGGCTTACTTACTCAGTTTTTATTGACTATGTGCCAGAGACACACAGATTCAACTCTAAGGTAATTTTTGAGCCTGTGTTGGTTCTGGATTATATTACAATCTAAGGAGAGGTGTTTCCAATATTTTGTCACTCATGCATTTGAATTGAGTGTATGCAACATCATTAAAACATATGAAGTGCAACCAACAGTTCTGTATCAACATTATTTGATTAACAGTTCGGTTCACAGACTAAGAACAAGGTTATGCATTACTAATTTCCCGAATGCCTTGAGGGACTTCTTCAAATTCCTAACTGTCAATTGAGGCGAGGGAAAAACAACAAACACTTAAAAATGAGAAACTGTAATTCAAAAAACATTTCTGTTTGTCTCTAAAAAAAAATAGCATATTAAAATTAGTAAACACAATATAGAATAAACACCTCTGTAACAGTGGCAACAAATAAGTAATTATTGGACATGTACATTTAGTAATCTTGTGAGCGATACAAAAAATGAAATCTGCTCTATTGAGTGTGGCAGCATGTCTGTGTAGATTCTCAGTCATCCAGGTCATGGTCATCCTAAGATTTTCAGTTCAAAGCAACTGGACTTCTCTTTTTGGTTCTTGAAAACATGTCAAATCTCATTTAAGAGGCTTCCTGAGTTCTAACTAACTGGTTGGGAGTCCAAGATATTTACTGTCATACCTAAAAAGAAAGACTACACACAGATCAGTAGCTGCTGTTTGACTCCAAACTCCCACAGGAACACAAGCTGGAAGCTATCAGAACCTTACAGCACCAGACTGAGAATGTCCCTTCCAAGACAGAGGGAAAAGAAAAGAAGCATGTGCGTACTAAAGAAGCATTTAAAACTGCGGATATCCCAAGTGGGCATAATGAGTTGGCAAAAAGATCGAGGAAAAACAGCAGCACAACATAAAACGAAGAATAAAAGAAGAAGAGCAAGAACAACACTGTCATCCTGTATGTAGCTGGTTTGTCTAAAAAAAAATGGTAAGGACTTTCTCCAAACACAACATCCCAGTGCAACACTGAGATAACAACTGATCCATCTTAAGACTAACACATGATAACACCAATACAGTGAGGAGTGCACAGAACTCTATCTAGTACGAGATGAAGCAACTGCATGGCTCAGCACAGGACAAGACTGAGTAGTACACCTGTATTTGGGGCGGATGTGGCTCAGGTGGTAGAGCGAGTCGGTCAGTGATCGGCGGCTCAATTCCGCCCTATAACCTGTGTCATGGTCGTTATGTCCTTGGGCAAGACACTTCACCCACCTTGCCTGGTGTGAATGCGCATGAATGGTTTGTTTGAGGCGGTGGTTGGAGGGGCCGTAGGCGCAGGATGGCAGCCACGCCACTGTCAGTCTGCCCCAGAGCAGCTGTGGCTACAATCGTAGCTTACCACCACTGGAATGAATGTGTGTGAATGAATAATTGACAGTGTTAAGTGTCTTTGAGTGCCTAGAAAAGCGCAATATAAATCTGATCAATTATTGTTACTATTATTATCTAAAGGATAACGGACACTCCTTTGAGGACAGTGATGTCCACAGTCTGGACAAAGACGACAAAATGGTTTTGGAGAACAGTTAAAAGAAAGTATCTATGTTAAACTGGAACAGCCATCTGTAAACAGGCGAGGGGATCTACAACACCATTTATCAGGTACTTATAATGCAATCTTCAGATTTTTGCCCAGAAAGGTTTACCAGCATTAACTGAGGGACATCCCTCCCCTGACAGTTTCACAACCATGTACACCTCGAGGCATGGGGTTGTTAACAGGCCGTGTGTTTTGGGAGTGAGAATAAATTCCTGGGACTCCCAACCAGGCAGTTAGAAATTAAGGAAGCCTCTTGGATGAAAGGCAAAATTTTCTCAAGAACCAAAACAAGAAGTCCAGTTGATTAAAGCTCTTGGGATGAGCGTGATGTGGGAAATCAAATGTGCCGAAATAAAGACAAAGAATTTCTCTGGACAAGAAGATAAGCACTCATGGTCAAAACAGAAGAGTTTTAAGACTACATGTCAAAAAAAAAGAGTTGGTTTTCTCATCTCACCTGCTTTCCCTGTGACTGAGCAGTAAGCGGGCCTCTGTGTGATTCCCCTCTACAGCAGTGCTGTGGCTGGCTATGACCTGATACAGCTTCTTCTTTGATGCTGAAGCTGAAGGAATTGGTGGACATGATGCAGGTAAAGGCGGAGGAGGAGGCGGAGGAGGAGGTGGTGACAAGGGACTGTCCACTGACATCTTCTTCGAGCTCCTTTTTTCTGACAGAAATTGCAGTTCAAACAGAAATTAGTATTTGGTACATATTTGCCAAGGAGCAAGTTACAGCAGGTCTTCACAATCACCAACACACTCGATAAACGCAGTCATTCATACAACCTGCTCCTACCTGCCCACCCCTGCTCACAACTTAGCTAGTAGCTCAGGGCGAAAAGAAGTAAAGTTAAGTTAACTCGATGTTGAATGCTGTTTGGGTAGAAACCAAGGTGTAAAAACGTTCCCATGTTATCGATTAAAGGTGATGTTCTCATTGTATTTTGTATATCGAACCTGTACTCACTTTTTACACTCGCAGACCGAGCTAACGGCACCGGGTGTTACGTTCCCATATTTGGAAGTATCCTCGCTCCTTTCTTCTTCTCTCTTCTTCTTCTTAAACTTCTTCTTCGCGTATTGTTGGATCACACACTAACAGTAATGTGTCACACCGCCCTCCAACGCGCTTACTAACCCAAAGAAATCTAAATTAAATGAAAATATCCGATTATTGACCGCACAGTCATGAAGCAAAATAAAAGGATTTAAAAGCACAACTTTCAATTGTGATTCTATAGTAGTTTTTTTTTTCTTACAAATATTTTAAAATGTGGTAATGCAAAAGCAAAATCAAATCAAATCTAAATACTACGGTGGGATAATATTTAATAACAGTCACTAGTAAAATACATAAAGTATGAAAAAAACTGTGCAATGGTCACAAAATCTGACGGGACAGAATTTGGTGTAACACCGGAAACTACGTTTTCCTTGTTTCTTCACGCGAGAACAGAGAGCGGGATTTGAGAACGCAGGACTTTTCATTCATCTTTTCGAGGTGAGTATCTCTTCCACTCCGAGCTGATCTGTTAAAGCGTCTTTTTTGACTGTAAATACTTTTTGCAGTCTGATTGTGAACTTAATTATCTTCGGTGCTGTTGTGACAATAACTGTAAGCAAGCGTAAGCGATAAAACGGGTTCAATGCACAGAATAATGTTGGCTAGCGTATAGCCAGTGGCTAGCTTTTAGCCTAACGTTCACCACACGTTTTTAATACAATCTGAGTGTTTGCTAACGTTAGCTAGCAAGTTAGCCGCTTTGCGCTCCTTCAATACTGACTCAAACTATTAATTGACGTTGTTTTTCCTCTCCAGCCCCCCACTAGCAGGTTAGAGGATGGCCACTCCGGAGGTACGGCTAAACCATACGATCTACATCAACAACTTGAATGAGAAAATCAAGAAAGATGGTAAGCTTTTGACCCTCGTTTTTCCCGGTCTATTAAATGCAAACAGCGCACCAACCAAACTAATGTTGACTCTTCTCTTTCATGTGACTGCAGAGTTGAAAAAGTCGCTGTACGCCATCTTCTCACAGTTTGGACAAATTTTGGACATCTTGGTGGCACGAAACCTGAAGATGAAGGGTCAGGCCTTTGTTATCTTCAAAGAGGTTAACAGCGCCTCCAATGCTCTGAGATCCATGCAGGGATTCCCGTTTTATGACAAACCAATGGTGGGTTAGTTGAACAGACCACTGTTCAGCATACTGCTCAAAATATAGATTCTGATTTGCATGTGGTCATAATATGTATTTTTGTCTTCCTACAGCGGATCCAGTATGCCAAGCAGGACTCAGACATCATAGCTAAAATGAAGGGGACCTATGTGGAGCGTGACCGTAAAAAGGAGAAAAAGAAGCCCAAAGGAACTGAAGGAGGGGGAGCTAAGAAAGGTGTACCAGGAGGTGCTGCACCCATGGTTGCTGGGGTGCCTGCTGCCATGCCGGTAAGTGGAACAAGTGGTATTTTATTGTGGTTAATGTTGGAAACAGAATTTGCTGGTGACCCCCAAGTATAACTTTAGGCCATGTATCAAACGATTAATCAATAAAGTACTTGTTTTTCAGAAAATTGAGGCAGAAAGAATTTCCCTCATTAGTCAGGTTCACACTAAAGGAGTTTCGGGCCAGTTTAAACCGGTTTCACTGTCCCAAAAATTGGAGGGGAAATCTGCTTTGATTCAATGTTGGGCTCAGATTATTTTTTCACGTGATGTTTTAGAGATCCATTCTTGTGTTGAGCTCATAGATGCCATTGGGAGGGGCAAATGGATGCATTTATTGGTGGGAAAATATTCTCACATCAACTTGCTACTGACTTGCTGAGTACTGTTGTATCTTTCTCTTCAGGGAATGCCTCCCATGAGTCAAGCACCCCGCATGATGCACATGCCAGGCCAGCCACCTTACATGCCCCCTCCAGGTATGATGCCTCCTCCGGGGATGGCACCCGGTCAGATTCCCCCTGGTGCCATACCTCCTGGTCAGATGATGCCCGGACAGATGCCTGGACAAATGCCGCAGCAGGTAGCATGTGTCTCTTTTTCTGAAAGAGCATGTTGTCATTTCTTCAATATAACAATGTTTTGTTCTTTTCTGATTGTTTGACTCTCACCTTCACTTTCTCAACACAGGTTGCAGAAAATCCACCCAATCACATCCTTTTCCTCACCAACCTGCCAGAGGAGACAAACGAGCTCATGCTCTCCATGCTCTTCAACCAGTCAGTAAACTCATTTTCTGCATTTGATTATGCATATTTGTGTCCATTTAAGGCAGGAACTGACTGTGATGTTGTGTTTAGGTTCCCGGGTTTCAAAGAGGTCCGTCTGGTCCCTGGTCGCCACGACATCGCTTTCGTGGAGTTTGAAAATGAGGTGCAGGCTGGTGCTGCACGTGATGCCCTACAAGGTTTTAAGATCACACAAACAAATGCTATGAAGATCTCTTTTGCTAAGAAATAACACCTCTCAGGACCAGTTGTTTTTCGTGCTGGCACACAGGTTTTTTATTGTACAGGAGTGACCAGAATAAGAAAACTTTTTTTTAAATTGCTGCTTGCTGATTTGTGATCAGTAGTAAGTTCCCTTCTTCCAGGATTACATGTAAGTATGCAAAATTTCTGAAATTTTAAGTTTTAGGTCCTGTAAAACTTCATAAATTGTAAGTTTTCTCTTTTGGCTTTTCACTCTAATCCACAAGCAACTTGATACGTCTTCTGTTTTTTTTTTTTTGTTGTTGTTTTAACTGTTGTCACAAAGCATTGCACCCAGGGTCTGGTCTACCAGACATTGTACCTGGAGCTTTTTTCTTTTTGTAATTAAAGTTTTTATTTGATACACTGCTCTTCCTCACTTCTTCACGCCTTTATGTTGCAGCATGAAATTGTCTTGCACCAATAGGTGGTGCTGTCAATCTACCTTCTTCTACCCCTGACTTAGAGGTGTTTTGCATAGGTAGGTGGGTATAGGGACGCATAGATGAGCTCAACAGCTAATAAGGTGACTAATCTTTAAGAGTGTCTTATTTTTTATTACTGGTACCCGTTACTCCTCTCTCCTCTAGTGTCATGATTTCTAATGAAACTTCAGCAATAATCTCCAAGTAAGGATCTTCAATAGTTTTTGAGAGATCTTACCGTTTAACACGTCTTTAGCCACAGAATCTGGATTATTTGGTGAAATTACTTGTCATGTAGATTTTGCGGTCACCTCTCAGCCCTCTGTAATACAACACTGATGCTCAGAATTGAGGAAAGGAGCTCAAAAGTAACTGCAAGTCAAAAGATCGGCCTCGACTTCGCTCGTGATGTTATGTGATCCAGACTGCAGGTCGCCCACATCTCTGCAAAATGATACTTCATAGAAAATCCAATTCCCTCAAGTTTTTCCATTAGTGTTATTTTTATTAGCCAGCAGTCTGCCTGATATGATCATGTTCAAAGTGTAATGGGCCTCAATACAATTCATTGTATCTGTCCTGCTTGTGGGGTAAAGCAATCTAATTGAATTTGTGCTTTGAGGTACACAGTGCCTCTTGAAACAAACCATTTTTGTCTTGATTTGGGCTTTGTGCCCTCTTCAGTTTAATAAACCAAAGGGATACATTTAAAACATAATTTTTTATTAGATTACATCTTGGTTGGTTGGTCTGTTTTGAGCCATTGTGGGGGTTTTCCTTCTCCAAGAGTAATACAGAAACCAAAGTTTCTGTTGTCATTGGGTATTAAATGACTGACAGTCTATTAGATGGCAGATAATGATTTTTATTTCATTTATTCAACCCTGTTAATGCACCTCTTAGTTTGGTGCTGCTATGTTAGAAATACAAATATATTAGACTAAATCAGTCTCCTGTAGTTTCCAGTTTTAGGAGTTCTTGGTAAGAAGCGTTTTACACATGCAGATTGTCAATAGTAAAAGGAACATTAAAGTAGCTTTAAACAGATGTTTTTGGGTTTTTTTTGTATAATGGTGTTGTAGCCCAGGGTGGAGGAAATACTGAAATATTTATGTAAAAGAGACAGTGCCACTGTGTGAAAATACTCTGCTTCAAGTAAAAGCCAGTGTTCAAAATGTAAGTGCTCATCTAAAAGGAAAAATAAACCTCAGTGTCTCCAGAAGCATTAACGTAGCGTACATAATGTTATGTCAGTTGTGGTCTAGCTAAATAAAGCTGTTGCATACAGTGCTTACAGAAATTGTTCCAACTTTTTTTTTAGGTCCATTCTTCTTATTTTATGGTTCATAGTTACCTTAAAATTGATTCACTTTTGCCCTCATCAATTTACACACAAAACTACAATGACAAAGCAAAAATAGGTTATATAAATGTATTAGAAATAAAAGACTGCTCAGACCTTTCATTTGGCATGGACTATAAAACATTCCCAATGCACTGAATAATCTATTTGTTTGGGTTACATTTACTGTATAACTCTGCATTTAATTTCCATCTTATGAATTTGAAAAGCTACTAGCGAGCTGTCAGATGGGTGAATTGCAACAGGAGTGTTTTCCTCTGAAATGTACAAGAGTACAATTCTAAAGTAACATAAAATGAAGCAAGTTAAATGCAGGAACCTCAAAGTTGTGTTGTAAGCTGTACTCGTATGAACAAATAACTAGTGAAGGCCATTGGGCATGGTGTCTCATATGTTCATAACTCTCTCATAGTTTGCCAATTAGTAAATTCCTGCTGTTTGTTTCGCAGCACCTCCTCACATGCTCCTCTCAGCTTCCAGATAATGCAGGCTTGCAGAGTAATTACATGCCAATAAGGACCACCTCCTCTTCTCAAAGGCTGGATTCATGAGCGTCAGACGGAGTGATGTGTGAATTAGGCCTGAAAAGCTCAATTTAGACTCGCACTATCAACTGTGTCCAGTGCACACAGGGCCTCCCTGTTGTGGACTTAAACTGTGCCCTGAGTAATTGTCTTCAGGTCAGCTCAACAGTGTACACACAAATTCGCATTCTTCTGCAGTTTCCCAAGCCTTTCCACACTCCCTTATTTTGCCTTGAGAAAGCGCTGACCTTAGCCACCAGGGCGCCATGTGTGAGTGAGAGAGCGGGTGTGTGTTTGTGTGTGTGTGTGTGTGTGTGTGTGTGGCATGAGCTTGGCAACATGCCTAGTGCCTTCCCATTCACCAACACAGTAATCTTTCAGTCACAGGGACTGAAAGGCAATTTATACTTATCCGCTGGGTCTGCCGGTCAGTGTCACTTCAGAGTGAGATCAAAAATCATCCCTTGTTGGTTTATGGAAATCACGCTGTGGGGCTGAATCGCTTAGACCTTCAGAAGTGTACTTTCAGTTCGAAAGGGGATCCCAAAGTTTCCAATGATAAATATCACCAACAAAAAGGTTTCTAACAGGCTTTAAGGTGTAAAAACTGCTTTTCCAAGGATTAAAACTTTAATTGCTCTTTAAAGGTTTTGCCTGTATTTAACAGTTGACAGTGTAAATAGAAGACACAAGGAAAGAGCGAGAAAGGTAACATGCAGCATAATTTGTGAGTCAGAATTATACTGGAAATGTTGCATTTGCATGTTGTGTATTGTAGTCCACTGTAAGCCAAAAAGATTCACTACATTCCCTTGATATAAGAGAGCAGTTGTTGGGTTTCTTTAATTCATTAGATGCCATTTGTGGACTTAGAAGCTGTGGAAACCTTGCTGCTTACTATAAGTAATAATCACTGTAATTTTCTGACAATAGTTTTTGGTCATTTTAGAGGATGGATTTCAGTTTTGCTTGTTTCTTGCTGCTTGTCTCATTAGTTGAAAGCAAGGGGGACTCCATTAAAAACATGACACATAATTGTCAGTCAAATCTGTTGCTTGTGTAGATTCTCAGACATTTAGATCATGTGTTTCAGTAACAGACAACTGGGCTGCTCTCTTTGGCTCTTGCAGACGTTTTGCGACTCATCCAAGAGGCTTCTTCAGTTCCAACCGACTGATGGGAAGTCTCATATATATCCTGTCGGTCACAAATCTCATGCTAATGACTTATTGACAACCCACGACTCTCATGCCTTAAAGTGTGAGTGGTTGTGAAGCTGCCAAGTTGGGGATGACACATCTCAAGACTGCATTCTAAGTGTCTGATAAGTGGCGTCATAGACCGCTTTCTCTGTTTAGAGATGGCTGTTTACCATAGATGGCTTTCTTCCTTTTTATTTTAAACCATTTGAATTCTCTGCCCAGAATGTTCACTTTACTGTCATCAAAGAAGTGACGCTTATCTGTTAGATGCAGGTGGACTGCTCAGTGTTGTCTTGATGAGCTGGATCTCTTGTGTTGTGTCATGTGTTTGTGGAGCGGTACTATACTAATATATAGATCTGTCCACTCTTTGCCACATTGGACTGCATACACACTGTTGCATGGCATGTATAGTCCAATGCAGTGAGGAGCTGGGTCGCCTGTGTTGTGCTTTTGTATGTGCTTCTGGATGTTGTTTGTTCTGCCCTATATACAAGTCTGTGCAGTCCTCGCTGTATTGGAAAAGTTAAAACTGAGCGGTCTACCTGCATGTGAAGGATGAAGGATGTTATTTGAGGACAGCAATCTAAACAGAAAAGACAGAAAGAGCCATTTGTGTTACATTGGAACAACCATCTCTAAACAGAGGAGGGGGCCTACAACATCACTTATCAGGTACTTATGATTCAGCCTTGAGAGCCTTCACCAGAAAGTTTTACCACCATTATTATCTTGAGTCCCCCCTTACCTGGCAGTTTCAGAATCATTTACTCCAAGAGGTATGTGAGTCTTGGGTTGTTGTGCCATCTATGTGATTTAAAGGGTGGCTGAACTGAAGAGGCCTCTTGGATGAGAGGTGAAACGTCTTTAAGAACCGTAAGATGTCCACTTGTCTTTTACTGGACAACTTAATCAAATCTGATCAAACCTCACCCATATCCTGATACGAGATTAACTGAGATTTTAAGAGTTAAACTTACAATAAATAATACCTTTAGGTGATTTTTTTCTAACTTGGAATGTTTTTAAATCACAAATATAGTAAAATCGAGGTTTGAAGTCATGTTTTCAGTGGGGATCATGAAGTTCTGCTACTTCAGGTTTTGACTCAATCGACACTTGTGACCATTAGGTGGTGCCAAATGCACAACTCACACAACTTCTCTTTGGGTAACAAGAAGCTGAGAGTAGCGGCTGCATAGTTTTGGTGACTCTTCCTCAGGTGAAGCGCACGCAGCAACCTCTGAGCAGAACCACTGATCTCCGCGTGTTTCCGGACGGTTGGTTAGAATTCAGCTCATGTTTGGAGGTCACTGCTCTTCTATGCAAATCAATGCTCTGCTCCTCAAGAGCCCTCTGTTCCGCTCCGGGGTCACTGCAGAGCGCTAAACCGCGGAAACACCAGCGGTTGTCAGGGAAGCTCTTGAGCAACAAGCCCGTGTTAGGATGGAGGAGGAGGGAGGCAGAATCTCATTAGATTTCCTCCGATAAAGAAGGTACATTGTGTGGAGGTCTGGGGTGCAACAAGACGAGCACTGGAGTTCAGATGTGGAAAATATGCCATGTGACCGGTGCCAATATTCAAAAGATCCCTACACACACACCCAACAATTCTCTTTTATATTTATGCGCTCACCCGGTAAGTATTTGCAGCCGGCGGCTTCATTAAACAGCGGCATGTGCGAACAGTATGCAGAGCTGCAGCTGTCGGAACAAGTTTAATCATAAACGTCCCTTTAACGATTAGATTCCATAACGCATCAGTCTGCAGCTGGATGATAGCTGCGTAAAGGCACCTGTGCCACGTGCGTCCTGGCCTTGCGCGCAATAGCCGGTCACCTTTTTTTAAAGCAGAAAACACTTCACAAAGCTCCTGCAGGCGCGCAGCTTTATGTTTGTTTCCTAGAATTCAGTGAGCAACTTTTACTCCATCGTGCGCAACAGAAGGGTATTTTAATTACGAAGGGCTTCAGCTTGAAAGCCTATAGAAACGTCCCCATTCAGAGGCCATCCTAGCCCGGGCAGAACTGTGAAAACAGTTAATTGGCACGGCGGAGCTTTGAAGTGGGCCAGGGACGGCAGAGGCCTGAAACTGGAGGAGAGGAACCAGTGAGGTGCTACAAAAGGTACAGAGGAAACAGAAAACCCGAAGAGGAGAAGTGAGATGCGAGGCGCATTAATTATAATCCCATGCGTAAAATGTGACAAAAAAAAAAGTTTGGGTTGGGCTACAGGTTGCTCAGAGTGCACAGAGAGGGGGAGAAAAGGGATGAGAGCTCTGGTGCGCACTGGGAACCATTCGGACAAGAGCTGAGAGACGGATATTCCCTGCCTCAGGACACACCCTCCATGCTCTCTCTCTCTCTCTCTCTCTCTCTCTGTCTCTCATTGTTTCCCACACTGACTCTGTCGCCGCCAGGCTTCGTATCGGGTTGACAAATGACCGGCCAGCCGCTCTGGTGAAAAGTGCGCAAAGTACAATCATTCCGCCGGAGAGGCGCAACTTTCCTCGCTGCGTCCTCGCTCTCACCATGACTCGGGATACAGGTTTTTTAGTATTATTTTTGAGCGCGGATCAAGCTTGAAGAGAGACAGGAGACGAAGAGAGAGTATCAGCTAATTGGGATGAGAGTTCAAGTCAAGTGAGCCGGCAGATTGGACCCGTAAAGCCTCTTAACGCAGGTGGTGGGAGGAATACAGCGCGAGGAGAGTGTGTTTATGTGAAGTGTGCGTTTTTTTGTGTGCGTGTGTGTCATTCCCCAGTGGAAATCTACCCCCCGGTCACAGCAGCAGCAGCAAAGGGAGGGGGATCAGGTGTGCGTGTGGGTGGGCTGGTTTGAGGATAAATCCACAGAGGTAGTTATGGTTACTCCGAAGTGGACGCGATGAAGTGGCTTTGCGGGAGTTTTTAAGGTTTAAGACCGGAGAGGAGGAGAGCTGGGCGGACGGAGGACGCAGGAAGGGAGGAGGAGAAGGAGGAGAAGGGGGGCACCGCCACCGCCAGAGCGCACAACACGGTCCCCGATGCCCCTTGACGCGGGGATGGAGAGCACGAGAGCGCACAGGATAACGCCGCTCAGTCCCAGAAGCGGAGGCGGAAAGATCAACGGGAAGCCAGACATGAGGGCTGAGCGACACCGCGGACACCTCCACCTGCAGCGAACTGTGATTTTTCTCGTGGCGCTCACGATACAACCGCAGGTAAGCCACCGATTAAGTGCTATTTCGGGCGGCATGCTCTTAAACCCCCTCGAGGTTCACCTGCGACTGCGGTTCAATCTGTTTTTATATGTCACAGCTGCGTGGAAACAGTCAGTAATGAAGTCCACGCACACTGTCCCTTTCCCCCTTTGTGCTGCCCTCATTCTGCTCCTACATGGCGCTGCGCCCACCTGTTGTTTCAGCCCGCTGGTGTCTATTATCCCACTGAACAGAGAACGACTGTAAGCCTATTTTAAAAGCATGGGATGTAAATGTCACAGCAAAAATGTGTGTGTCTATCAGATTGCAAAATCTAATTTTTTTTAGAATTATGAAGAAGTGCCTGTATATTTTGGCACTTTTTCCTAAACAAAGAATGTAATGGGGCGGATAACCCACAAATCAATCTGAATGGCAGAATCCAGAAGATGACCATGATTTATTTGGTGATTTCAGTGTTAAATAAACTGTTGATTCCTTAATTCCTTCACATTAATTATCCACCACACGTCTTCTGTCCAGCGTGCGTTCTCTAATTAACAAAGGAACAACTGCCTGTGCATCTTTAGGATGTGTCTCTGTTCATGCATTGTCCATTTTTAATATGATTTGCAATCATACTCTCACCTCATGGCTGCATCATTTCATTTGTAGAGCAGTGAAGTTCAGTAGCCTGTATAAATGATTCTGGCAGCCTGCTTATGGAAATTATTTTTGGCAGCAGACCTAAACTTTACATTTTATGCTGAGAAAACTTCGGGCACAGAGGAGCAAAAACCACAAAATATTTCCCCTCTTTGCCCAGTGAGCTGTCAGGCAGCCGCTGCTCTTGTCAGGATGTGTATGATGTGTGACAGGACTCACCAGTAGCAGCACCAGAGGCCCAGAGGTGCTACAGAGCATGCATGTGTGCACATGTGTGTGTGCGCGTGCATGTTTTTCTCCAAACACTGAACTCACATCCAGCATCTGTGTCTTCTTGGGTGTGTGTGGAGCCCGGGGCCACAGCAGAATAAACTCCGGGGCGTGTGAATGTTGAACATTCGGGCAGCTCTGCGTGTCTCTCTCTGCACCTCTGCAGCCCCTTCACAGCTGAGGAACAACACACTCCACTCCCTCCATTCTCCGACTGCACTGCAGTGAGAAACACACACTGAGGATCCTCTGCAGCTGCTGGTGCCCATTTATAATGCATCTGAACCTTGGATTCATAAATGAGGCTTCTTGGCACCCCCAGCAGTCTCTACATGTTGCCTGTTGTCCAATTTCATCTGTCTCAATGCTCACACTGCAGTGTGATTTTCAGCTGTGGTTTGCAGAATTAGGATTCATTTTTAAAATGAAGCTACATTTCAAAAAAATTGATTATATTACACTTTATGTCTCTGAAATTCCTTTGCATCTAAAACAAGAATGGCATCACATTTTTTTGTCACAAATGTCACTCTCAAAGAAAAAGATTTCCCCTTGCTGACAGAAGAAAATAAACCAATTTGAAATGGATTTTGCCTTTAAAGGGAAAGTTCACTTTAAAACACAATAAAATCAGTTTATCTTCTAAACAGTGTTTGGGAAAATCAATCCACATATTACTTCAGTAAGATTCAATATTGAGGCTCACCGCAGTACTGTGAAGCCTGCAACTATCCACTCATTGCCAGTTAATCTGCCAAACACTTCATTAATTTGCTGTCAGAAAATAGTTAAAAATGCCTGTCACACATTTCTAGTGTGAAATATGACTTCTTTAAGTTGCTTGTTTTGTCTGAACAGCGATCAGAAACTCAAACATATTCACTTTTTGACCATTTACAACAAGAAAACACAGATAATCTTTGCGTTTTGAGAGGCTGACACTAGCAGAACGTTTGGCATTTTCCATGGAATGATTCATCCGTTATTAAAATGGTCGGCATTAATTTTCAGCTCATTAAATAATCAGTTAATTAAATATTTGCTTCGGCTCTGTGAAGGCCTTTAAATGGCCACAAAAATGTATTTGAAAGCAATGATGTCTTTCCAAATTATATGTTACACTTGTGTGTGAAGAAACTCAAAGTATTCACAGTGTGGTCTGTGAACTGCTGTGAGGAAACTGAGTCGGATGTGACAGATTTAGTACTTGAAAAACAGATACAACATACATATATGCATACAATGGCTTTTTTAAAATGTGAATTTTTAGTGCTTCAGTAAAAGGCAGCCAGACTTTTTTTTTGGTTCTTGAAGATGTTTCGCTTTATCGAAGAGAGGTGGAACAACCCAACACGCATGAGTCACTTTAACAAGCCTTGGGGGTGAGAATAAACACCTGTGTCTCTCCACTAGTCAGTCAGAACTGAGTAATCCTCTTGGATAAGAGCTGAAACATGTTCAAGCACCAAAAACTGAAGTCCAGTTGCTTTCTATTGAAGCTCTGAGGATTACCAAGGCTGACAATCTGCACATTTCAATTTAATTTATGTGCTTTCATTTCCTTCTGCTTGTTTGCTTTGTCATCAGACATTTTTTAATGAATGTTAGCTTACATCACTAAACATAAATACCTTGCTTAAAAGGAAAAGTTAATTGGTTACTAACTTTCCCTGTGACTCTGGATCGCTCTAAAAGAGTCCCAGTCTCCAGTTGCTGAACCTTGCATTCATATGGAGAGGATTTGCCGTGAGACAGGCTGAGTTTTGACTGCAGAGAGCGTTTAACTGCCAAAGCTCTCCTGCAGAGATGGTCTGAGCCTTGGCTTGGACGTCTCTCTCCCTCTTTGTCCCTCTCTCTGGTCAGACTGAGCGCTGAAATGCTGGTATGCAGGGAATGACTCGGGCAGCGAGTGCAGGAGAGGAAGAAAGGAGGATGTGGAGTGATGAGCGCCACTGTATCTTCACAAGCCTTTTGATGTAGACAAGTTCACCCCCCTACCGCCACCACCCCCGACCCCTCCCGCCTCACCCTCTCAACCCCTTTCAGCTCAGGGACAGAGTGCAGGAGAGGGACATGCAACCGGTAACAATGGAGCGACTGAGATCGTGGCTCAGCTCGGCTCATATGAGATCTTGTTGGTCATTTCTGTCCATGATTGAGAGCGCAGCACCTCTAGCGGGGCTGTCATTAGTTCAGACTGGCTGTGAATTATTCAGATTTCTTCTAGGTTTCACGGCAAACAGAGATAACGGGCTTTATTTGTGTGTTTACTGACGATGCCAAATCCACAGTCAGAAGTGCCATGACCCTGGTGCTCTGAGACTCTCAGGGGGTCTTGTTAACTCCACGATGTGTGGGTTGTGTCCCCTCCACCCATCCCTTAAACAGGGAGGGACCACAGAGGAAAGAAAAGGGAAGGCAGATGAAAAGGAGGATGGCAACAATGCAGAAAGGAGCCGATGGCCGCAGAAAGAGAAATGACAGGATCGTCACAGCTTGTTCCCAGATAGAGAAAGAAGTGGAGGAGGATCCCAGTGTCATCGTCCCCTGGGAAGAGAAAGTGAGAAATAAGAAGGGAGTGGTGGTGACACATGGGACGAGTAAAGAAAGAAAGAAAGACAAGAGGAGAGGAGGCTCATAAAAGGAAGTTGAGAGATAAACAGTTGGAGGATTATATTGCGGGAGTGCTGGTGAATCCGTCCTCAATTTAAATGGAAACGTCTGTTTTTTCCTCCACTGGAGGTCAGACAGAGTTGTGGGAATCAAAGTTATGTCCACATGTCTTTTCTTTTTTTCCTCTCTCTCTCGCTTGCTGTCCGAAGACTGTTGTCTCGTAGCGAACTGATAAACAGATGATACAGAGGAGACATGCAGGCCGCTGCTGATTCCCAGAAGCAGTGAGACAGTATATAGCAGGAAACATGATAGTCGGTTCTCAAAGGTTCTTCACTCTTTTCACACACACACTTCATCTACACTGTAAAAAATAAATAAGTGGATTTGAGTTGTAGTTGTCCTTTAAAAAAAAAAAAAAATCGTATTTATCTTTCTGCTCTGGTGACGGCAGTCACCATGAAATTACACAGTGTACTGTTCAACTGGTTTCCAACTGTAGTGAAAGTGCGAAAATTAGGTTTACTGCTTCAGCATTGTGCGTCTGATGTTCTTACCCTAACCCTAACCAACCCTAAGGAAAGAAAAGGGCAGAACGGTAGAAGTATAATGACAAAAATGTGTTTTACATTTTACATTTGGGGAAAGCAAAGCTGGAAAAATTGGAAACTTGAAGTTGACTCTCCTTAAAATGAAGGCACAGCAATGCATGCTGTTCTTTTTTTTTTTAGGGGAATCAAATGATTTAAGAACATCTGACTTAAACTGGTGGCATTAGTGTTACTTGTTAACTTCATTTGGATAAATGTCTTTCGATTGTGTGTTATCAAATGGAACAACTTTTTGAAGATGGTCCACAAGTTCTAATTTTTGAGTGTACTCATGGTGTTTCATAAGTTATTTGACCTTTATCAAATAAAATTCCTACCTGTTTTCAACCTAACTTACTGAATGCCAAATACTAATATTAATAATAATTTTTGGAAAAATCATTTATTGGATTCTTTTTAAACACTCAAGGAAACTTTACAAAACATCAGGCATAATAAGACAGTTATCCAGAATACAATCTGAGTGGACATGACATGAGTGGATTACCATTGATTTACAACTGAATAGGATCGCAATTCTAAACAAATATGTGTCGAGGTGTAACTTGATCTCTACATTAGAGTCCAGCTGATGGATGTGTAGCAGTAGTGAGCTCCAAAGTCGTGGTGCAGAGCAGCTGAAGGTGTTGAGTATAAAACTTGGGGCTGATGTCAGAGCAGGAGAGGGCTTTGAAGGTGAGCAGTAAGGTATTCGTTGCTAAACAGGGAGTCAGTGGAGCTGAATGACGACGGGAGTGATGTGGTCAGTGGACTTGGTGCTAGTGGTGCTCCTATAGCAGCAGAGCTTTGAATGATTTGAAATGGTTGCAGAAGTTTATAGGAAATACCAGAGAGGATGGCAATGTGAGAAGTGACCAGCGCCACAATAGGAAAAAGTGTAGAAATATTTCAAAAGTGAAAATAGGCAGTATGTGAGATGGTATTAATCTATGGTGAAAGGAAAGTATACCATCCAGTATGACACCAAGTCTATTGATTTAGGTTGAAGTGAGGACTGAACAGTCATTAATGCGTATCGTGAATGGGTGAGTTTTGGAAAGTGCGGTCTATGAGAAGAACCTCGCTTTTATTTTCATTGAATTTGAGGAAGTTGTTTGACATCCAGCTGTTGATGGTTTAAAGACAGAAGGTGAGGGCAGAAGGGGGAGATGTAAAGGTGGATGTCATCAACGTAGCATTGAAAGTGTGTTTGAGCATGATGGAAACAATTTTCAAGGGGGAGGAGCTATTTAATAAATGAAAGCAGTCCCAACACGGATCCCTGTGGGACGCCATGGCTAACTGGACTGATTCAGACTGAAGATGCTTTCTTTAGACAAACTGGCTTCTGTTGTTCAAGTAGGATGTGAACCAGGGTGGTAGTGATGTGTAATGCGTGTGTCATTTTAATTAAGATTAAAAGTTTGATTAAAATATTAAACACAAGCAAGAATGTCTGCTTTTATAACATAAAAATACACAAAATTAAGCCATTATAAGGCTTCTCATTAAAACAAAAGGCTTTATCAACACACAGCACATTCATATTTGCCAAGTTAGGCTAAAATATGAGGCTACAGATGATAATAAATTAATATAAAAATAAAAACAATTAATAAATTTGAAAAGAGCAGAACTTCCCATCACTACAGGGATGTGCTTTGCTGCTGACCGTATAATATCAGTCCTTCATTCTAATAGCAATGAATGTGAAATGGTGTCAAAGGCGACACTGAGGTCAACGAGCTGCAACCACAAAGCCGTTAGGGATTTTGGCAAGATCTGTTTCTGTGGCATGTTTAAGACAGAAACCTGACTGAAACGGCTCAAAGAAGTTATTGCTATATATTTGGGCCTGAAGTCGAGTTGCTGCTGTTCTGTCCAGGATTAATGGGATGAATGGAAGTTTAGAAATTGGCTTGTGGTTATTTAGATCACAGGGTGTAAATAAAAGATGTACAAATTAAGCAGAAGCTGCATCGTTTAAAAGAGTTTGTTGTTCTTTTCTGTCACTGTTATTAATTTGTGTAAATTATGCATCTTTCATGAATGACTTTGGTAATTTCTGTCTCTTCATAGTGACTGTTTATTGTAAAAAGGTCGTTCTGCACCAATCATAGAGTTTTGTAATCAAAAATGGGATTTAGTTTCCTGCTATTGCCGGATACGATGAAAGTGTCCTTATACTGTTACTATAATTGAAGGACACAAACATGAAAACAAATTATCTGGAAAACCTTTAACTTTTCTATTTTTGTTTTGTGTCTTTGTGCTCTAAATGTTTGATTTTAGAGATATGCTGGCCCTATACAGCCTTCAAAGTAGACCGCAGATATATTTCAGCATTTTGGCATTTATTTGCTTTCTTCTTGAGAGTTAGATGAGATAATTGATGCCACGCTCATGTCTTTACACTACATATGAAGTTACAGCTAACTAGCTGCAGCTTCATGTTTTTGTGACTCTCTGAAATCTCTGCTCAAACTCTAACTCAGCAAAAAAGCAAATGTGTGCAAATCCTAAGATTCTGCTCTGTTCTCTTAACCTTTCATCACCCACCAGCCCGAATTTTGAGCTGAGTGAAAATTCTGTATTTTGAAAGGCATCAGCATAATTCTGAATAAAATTATATATAGAATGAAAACACAAAGCCTCAAGAATCAAAACATTGAAGACGCTACTGTGTAATACAATAGCAGCAGCTTACTTTGCAATGAGGGCGCATACACAGAAAAACGGTTGCTTCTTTACCTTGTCTGTCATCTCCAGAGACTCATACATGCAGAATGAGATGCATGGCTCACTGTTTCCACTGCAAGAGTCCAGCGAACAAAAAGCTTCCGAGCTTTTTGTGTAAAAATAGGGTGAATGTTAAGCAGTTAAAACTTTCTGAACTTTCTGAGGCGTGCGTCTGCGTACTTGAAGTCCCGTCAGCTTTCAAATTCTGTTCACTAGCTTTCTGTGCTCAGTGTTCCATCTCATTAAAAGCATCTTTCATGTGTCTTTCTGAAAAGATAAATTGGTTTCAACTATGATATTGGACGGCAACATCAATTTAACAAACACAAAAGGCTTAACGGTGAAAACTTTGAAACTGTTGCAATTACCTAAAACCTTTGCTTCCTGCACCATCGAGGAATTTGTCTTTTCAGTGCTACAAGTCACACAAATCTGACTTTAAAGACTACAGGGGGAAGATGTGTTGCCCAGAATGTTCACACAAACTTAAATGACCCCCTAAATTTAAGTCGGCTATTGATTTTTGGTGATTTTGCTTCACCACACTGTGCTGTAGCTCAGGTGGTAGAGTGGGTCGGTCAATGATCGAAAGGTCAGTGGTTCGATTCCATCCTGTAACCTGAGACATGGTCGTTGTGTCCTTGGGCAAGACACTTCACCCACCTTGCCTGGTTTGAATGCGTATGAATGGATTGTTTGAGGTGGTGGTCGGAGGGGCTGTAGGCGCAGGATGGCAGCCACGCCTCTGTCAGTCTGCCCCAGGGCATCAATCTTACCACCAATGTGTGTGAATGAATAATTGACAGTTGATTGTATGCGCTTTGAGTTACTCCTTGAGTAAGAAAAGCACTATATAAATCGAATCGATTATTATTATTACCACACTCTTCAGAGAACTTGCTGTGCCGCTTTAATAGCAGACAACACGTTAATGTAACTTTCTTCTTTCTGCTCTCTCTGGACTCAGGCTGTCAGTGCAGTCGGGATGTTTGAGCTTCAAATCCGTCACTTCCATAACCCGCACGGACTCCTGCAGAACGGAGACTGCTGCGACCTCCAGACCAGCGGAGGACAGCGTTGCTCTGCCAGGGACCAGTGCGACACTTTCTTCCAAGCCTGCCTCAAGGAGTACCAGGCCCGGGTCGTCCCAACCGGATCCTGCACCTTTGGGTCGGGCAGCACGGGGATCCTGGGTGGAAACTCCCAGTCGCTCCGCCACCGAGGACACGATGGAGGAGGTGGAGGAGGAGGAGGAGGAGGAGGAGAGGATGGGATTAACGGACACATCGTCATTCCCTTCATATACGCCTGGCCGGTAAGTACAGGGGCAGTGCTGGTTACCACTATGGTTACCAAGGGAACAGGCTAAGCTTCAAGTACAAAATAATACACTCAAACTGAGACTGGAGTAGAATAATGATGACACTTAGAGCCTTCGTCCAGACTCACATGCTTTTGCAACACAATAGCCAAAACATCTGCTTCACTCTAGAACTGGTAGAATGCATTACAATAATTAATTTTAGACATGGGAAAGACAATGCTTTTTATTGAAATATGTTAGATTTTTGGTGTTTTATGGCAGTGGGGGGACTCTTCTTATGAAAAATAGTTCAGTCCATGAAAAAGAAATACACATCTAAAGACAGAGGTGCTGTTGGAAGATTTATCCCAACCTGGTGGTCAGATTAAAACCAAATCCGAGGAGGGAAAAGATACTTGTATGATCCAAACGACCTGATTTTTCTGTGACTTCTAAGCCATGCTGGCTGTGGCCTGAGAGATGACAATGTTTACTCCATTACGTTGGTCAGGACTGATATTCCTTAACAACTGCTGTACAGATTGTTGTGATGTTTGAATCAGACATCCTTGTTTCCTACAGAATGAGGCAGCTTTGAGGTGACATTTGCTGATTTGCCACCTTTCATCCTGTGCCATCATGACATTTAATTTTAATTTGATTATTGACCTGACAAGTGCAAGACCAATGACATTCCCATCAGCCTCTGTTGAACTTTGTATTTAGCGCTAATTAGCAAATGTTAACACAAAACCACTCAACCAAGAGGGTGAACATGATAAATACTGTATTCGTTGCACATCAGCATCACTGTGAGTATTTTAGCATCTTTGTGTGTTGTATTTATTCAGCGTCCCAAAATATGAAGGACAGCTAACTCTTTGATCAAGCTGCTCACACACAGTTGCTGTCCACATTGAAGCAAAAGAGATATTTATGTGTGTGTTTATGTTTTAAAATATCAACAGCCTTACAGTTTAGGAGCCACTGGTTCAGACAACCATCCTCTAAATGAGATGATCATCAGAGGAGAGGAACCAGGATCTGTTTTCCTGACACCAGCCAAACAGTTTCCTGGATCCAGAATATTTAAAGGAATCCCATGATATGATTATAGTAATAGATGCTAAACTAAATAATTCCACGTTATTATGGGATCTCATTTCTGGAGTTTGCAATTTGCTTTATTGCATTACACAGTATTGCTTTTCGTCCCCTGGTCTCCTCGGTCACATCTTCTCTCTTTTTGGATAGTTTGGTTTTCTTTCCTTCATCCATGTGAAACATTCTGTCCTTGTGTTACAACCGCTGCTCATTTGGGAGCTTTCTTTAGGGTGTATTGAACAATTTGCGTCTTGATCCAACATCACGCTGCCGGCTTCTCCATCTTGTGTCTCAATTAAAAAGCAGAACAATTAATCTGCAATTAGGACAGCAGTTGGCAAGAGTGACCAAGAGAGATATTGATTATTCAATGTGCCTCTTTCTCTTCTCCTTCAGTCCTCCTTGTCTCCTTTTTCTCTTGGTTTTTTATTCCTAAAAAATGCACAAAGTATCTAATAAAACCAAGAGTTTCATATATGTATGAGCCTCTTTACCAAACAAAATGGCTTTTGTTCACTTGCATGATTATTTTTGTATATTATGTGTTGCAAATATTATTTATGGGGCTACAGGGTGACTCTGTGGTTAGCACCGTTGCCTCACAGCAAGGAGGTTGCTGGTTTGCTTCCTGGTGAGGACACCCGGGATCTTTCTGTGTGGAGTTTGCATGTTCTCCCCGTGCAGCGTGGGTTCTCTCCGGGTTCTCCGGCTTCCTCCCACAATCCAAAAACATGTTGAGGTTAATTGGTGATTCTAAATTGTCCGTAGGTGTGAATGTGAGTGTGCTTGGTTGTCTGTCTCTAAGTGTAGCCCTGTGATAGACTGGTGACCTGTCCAGGGTGTCCCCTGCCTTCACCCTAAGTCAGCTGGGATAGACTCCAGCCCCCCAAGTGATGATTACGTGGTGTATAGATAATCATTCAATTAATCAACTAGTAAATCTTCAGAAAAGTTATTGCTTACCATTTTAATAATTACTTAATTGTTTCAGTGCATTTTAAGCAAAAACCTCTCAAATCTGAATATTTGCTTGAACCTCTTTGAGTTTTTGGACTGTTGGGAAGTTCTTAATGGAATTAAGTGGCAGGCCCATTATGCATGTTGATTCTTTTCATGCCTTTTCTTTGTTTAATTTGAGCCCTGAAATTCTAAGAATGACAGCGCAGTGAATAGCTTTAATCAGAGCGACTAACACAAACACTCTAATTTTCCGGAGCTCTTATCGCCTCCAATCACCTCATTTTCTATGAACCCATCAGCCCATCTCTGCACTCATCAGTCGCTTCTTTCCTGGACTTCTTTTCCAGCAATTAATGCGTGTTTATCAATGAAATTGGAGCTGGAGAGAATCCCTTCAAAATGACTTGGCAAGGACACGTAGGAGTCAGCCACAGTTTTTCCAAGGGGATTTCAGAGGTTTTGGTTGTTTCTTTCACTCAGAGAAATCCCGCTGCAGTCTTTCCGTTTGCTCCTTCTTTCTTTGCCTTTGATCGCTCCCAGCATGGTCGACTTGTTTCTCGTAATGAAAGTATTACAGAAACGGCAACGAAAGACCCTACGGTTCTGAGATAGAATCATATTGTGTTGGAAGGACGTTTGTAATTTTGCACAAAGCCCAGGTGATGCTGTGACACATGTACACTCCTAATGTAGCCACATGACCAGGAAATACACACAAATTTAGATTTTATTCCCCTGGCTGAACCACTACTTGCCTAAACTGACTAATGTATGTTATGGCGACTTGCTTTTTGTCCCAAATTGTGATTTTGCAAACAGCTTCATGTCCCCACAACATGAGTAATACAAGTACACACACACACACACACACACAAGAATGTAACACAGAGTTGGTTTAGGTTTCGTCTTCTTGATTAGCATCAGTCCATTTACCTGTGAGACTCACTGTCCCAGAGCCAATTACCTTCCCTTATCTGTGTACAGTTTGCTTTTGCGTGCGTCCCTGTGTGTGCGCTGCAGGCATACGGCATGCGTGTCACACTTTCCCTGTGTTTTTTCCTCTCCTCTCGCACACCGGGGAGGTGTGTGGCTGGCAGGTTATGAGTGTGAGAAAGTTCTCCGTCAGAAAGCCTACCTGGATCGGTTTCAGGGCCGGGCCGCAGGGCGGGCTGGGCTGCAGGGGGGGAGAGAGGGCTGGGACACACTGTGGCAACCGTAGTGCGGTTTCAGGCTGAAAGACTCGCTTTATCCGACAATCTCTGGGAGGTGGAGGGAGGGAGAGTGATCCCCCTGCCCCAGGTGAGGGGATGAACAGGTGAGCATAGTCATTATGAGGAAAGGTGAGCTCTCCCTGTCCCCTGCCCTCCCTCATTTGTTTCGTCTCTCTTTCTCCCACTAATCTCTTCAGGGAAATGTGTGCGCGAGCTGTTATATGTGTGTGTGTGTCTGGATTCGCTCAGGAAAGTGAGCATAGATGTAATTCGTTGTGTTTGTTTTGTGTATGATGTTATCAAGCTTGCCGGCAGGGGTTCATCCCTGTTAGGCTTCTGTAAATCTGGGATGTGATTTCTCTGCTTATAGCCCCAAATCTGAGGAGTTTTTTCTCTGGTAGTTTTTAAAGCGCCTGTAAAAGTTTCCATGCTTAATAGTCTCTGTGGTTGTATGATGAAAGTAGTTAAATCTTTTGTACAAGGGATTTGTTTACTTGCTGAGAAGATTGATATCACTCTCAAATCTTTGCATCAAAGGTGCACAGCAGCACCCGGTAACGGTCATTTTGCAATGAGATGTTAAGTTTTTTGAGTGCAGGATTTTTATCAAAGCAGCTTTGATTGCCACATAACACACAAATCTGCGTGTTAAAGATGCAGAACAGGAGCCAGCAATGGTCATTTTGTGAGCCAAGGAAACATGATATAAGATATTACCTGGTGAGGGAGGGTTTTTTTTTGTTTTTTTTTATCTCTGTGCTAAGCTAAGTTAATTTCCTTCTGACTCTCAATTTATACTTACATCCAGTGGCATCAGCTATAACAAAGACGGAAAATAGTAACCAGTTTCATGGTTTAGTAAGGATACTTTACCTAAATGGAACATTTTATCTTTGGATGTTGCGTTTTCTATGTCCAGGATATTCACCAAAGCAGCAGAATTTGCTACCTTATGGTGTCATGCTATGAGAAATGTGCAGGTAATGTATCCTGTACATATGAACCGGACCATGTCAGAGGATTTGGTAGCATGTCTGATGTTTTCCCTGTTTGGTTCTGCATGTTAAAGTCCAGATTTCAGCTTTGCCTCCAGGTCCTCAGTGTTCTTAAAGATAGTCTGAGAGACATGGCTTCTTTGTGACCCCAGCGTTAAAACCGCAGACACTCAGCGGTCTGGGATGCTTTAGCTGCGGCGGCGCCTCCACAGAGATTGGAAAAGTTCAAAGACTTCATAACTGCAAGGTCATTTCTTTAAGCCCTTTCTCTGTTGGTGGTTTTGCTGTTCATTGTGTTTGCATGAAGCAGCGAAACAACAATAACTGTCAATAGAGCACTCTGTTTGTTCCTGATGAATCTGTTTATCTGACAGAAACAGGAACAAATCAGTGGCTTGAATCAAGAGGATGAAAGCAAAAGGTAGAGAGGAAGTAAACAGACAGGTACACAGGGACAGAGACAAAAACATCAGTGGATGTGCTTCCTGCTCTAAATGCATATATTCAGCGTAAAACCACCACTCACCAGACAAAGTGGGAAGGGAATCCGACGTTTCCTGACCTATTGTTGCTCAGACCTTGTTCACCAAGGTCTGGTTAAGCTGAGCTCTTTTGTTAAAGCTACCTGTGACAAATGACAATACGATAGGTGCCATAGAAATACTGTTAAGATGAAGTGAATGGAGTGAAGTCCCCACCGTTTGTAATCCTCATGTCAAGTGTTAAAACTCATTCATGGTCA